TCAGGCGGCACCAGCTCCGTCCACCACCGCAAGGCGGAGGCACCAACCCTCGGGAACCCCGGCAGCTCCTCCTCCTCCTCTTCCCACCCCCAGGAATGAGACCCTAGGCATGGGGAGGGGAATCCCATCCTATCCGGGGCCGGGATACCCCCGAGGGGGTTGCGCAGACCTTGCCTCCATCCAGCCATCACCCTGAAACACCTACTGCTGCCCTAAACCGACGGGTGGCAGAACCACCAGCCCCAAAGAGCCACTCTGTTCCCTCCCGATGGAGATTTTCCAGCCCCAGGACTCTCCTCTGGCTCCATAAAGGCTTTTCTTAAATTTTGTTAAAGCAAGAAATTGTGTTTCCTTGTTTACGCTTCTGCTATCCCCAAAATTCCAACACCCACTTGAGTTCACCCAACAGGGGAGTGAATTTGCCCCCCAAAGTGAGTGGCCCCCAGACCAGTGAGGAGAGGCCAGTGCTGGCCACAGTGGCTGTTGGCACCTCCAGGAGGGCTGTGCTTAGCCCCAGTGAGTGGAGCTGGGTTCATCCAGAGAAACAGCCACTTCAGAAGATAAAACCCACTTGGGGCACCCCTCTGTCCCCCCAGCACAGTTCCCCCAGAGGATATTTTGCTGCCTAGGTTCCTGCCAAGGTTCCACAGGGGTTGTCCCTGCTGAGGTTTGCCCTTTCCTGCCTGCACACAGGAGGCTGATGGAGCCTGACAACTGCCCAAAGCCAACCTCAACCCAACACCACAGCCAAGGACTCTCCTATCTGCAGCAGCACCAGAACAAGCTCAGGGCAAAGGACTCTCCTACCTGCTCCCCCAGAGCACTGACGTGAGGAGGGGCTGGGGGTGAAGGGTCTGTGGTGCCCCAGGTGCAGCAGCTCTTCATCAGCAGGTAACCAGTGGGTTCAGCTGGCAGTTAGTGGGTTCAGCTGGTAATTAGTGGGCTCAGGTGCAGAGGAGCAGCACAGCCTGGCTGGGGGGTGCTGGTAGTCTTTGTTGGGGTATGGGGTGTACCCAGGTTCTGCTCTCCATCCCAGAGGGAAGGATCTTGCCACATCCTCAAGCTTTTCCTTGGAGCAAGCCCACCCCATGGCAGGACCAAGGGTCCCATCTTCCCCCTGCACAACACCCAGCAGCTCCATGGCAGGACCAAGGGTCCCAATCTTCCCCCTGCACAACACCCAGCAGGGACAGGATTTGGCATGAGGAGAGGGGGAAATATTGGGACCAGAACACGGGAAAACCATTGATGTCAGGATCGAGGATTTATTTACACATCAAGGAAAACTCTCACCCAGAGTCACGTGAGGAGGAAAAGCAAACAAACCCCAAGGAGCAGCGATTTGCCTCCTGAGCACAAATGCTCCCACTCCCAGTGCACCAGGCCTCCTCCTCTCCTTCTCTGCAAGGAGAGCCTAAAGGCATGATTTGTGTGCAGTTACCTGCACCATGGAAAATACAATCTCAAAATAAAAGCCACCTTTCCAGGGAGGTCTGTCCCTGCACAGGCAGATCATGGAGCAGCTCTCACTCCATGCAAGAAAAGGGCAGCAGCTCTAGTATTCATCCAGTGTGTCTGCCCGTGGGACTGAGAGACCTCGCTCCTTCAGCGCCTGCACCTTCAGCTTCTCCGACTCCTGCTTGGCCTGCTGCTCCACTCGCTGCTCCTCCAGGATCTCCTCGATGGATACCTGCTGCAGAGGTGTGTCACTCTCCTTCTCCAGGTCCTGCAGGAGAAAGAGCCTGTTCAGCTCTGTACGGCACCCCTGGACTGCAGAGCACATGTGCCCACACACCTTCCATGAATTCCATCAAAAAGAGAAGGGCATGGAAAACAGAGGTGCTGGAGGTACCCCAAAGAGTGGGGGGGGCAGGGACCCCCAGGACAGCCACGGATTCCAGGACAGTCCTGGGAGGGAGCACCTGGGAAGCCCATGCAAACAGCAAGTGAGACAGCTCCTCCTAAGCCCATCCCAGCCAGTGTCACCTGGTACTGAGCCAGCAGGGAGGTGACAGCCAGCCACTAACGACACCCTTCAGCAGTGCCACACACAGGCCGGGGCTGACACACCTCCCTGTGTCACTCTCCATCCTTTATGCCATCCCGGAGTGGCTGCAGCTACAGGAGACACCTCTGCGCCCTCTGCACCTGGGGTCGTATCTGTGATGGGTCAGACTGAACTGGCAGCTCACATTCCAGCCCCCAACAGGACAGTGACAGTATTTCACAGCAGACAGACCACAAACATCCCCAGCTCAGTCCCAGCTGAGCTATTCACTTACAATTTCCCCCAGAAGAACCACATTCTCGCCCCTCACGACAAAGATGCCCCGAGGGATGTCCCCATACTTCTTGCCCACATGGATGCGCTCCACAGTCTGGTGCAACACCAAGTTTGCTGCAGCAGTGAGAGAAAGACAAAACCATGTTTTGCTGTGATTTCTGGCTGTACAGAGTGTCCCATCCCACCAGGCAGAGCCCCCAGAACAGTGACAGCGCCAGTGCTCTCCCAGGGCTTGGCACTGAGCACCTCCCCAGCTCTCTCCACCTCGGCAGCTCCTGCAGCCTCACAAGCAAGGCAGGGAGCGAGCTCAGACCCCAAGGCTGAGCCCACCTGAGACACCTGTGCCAACAGCAGCAGAGAAGACAACAGCGTTGTTGGCGTCGCAGGCTCTGAGTGAGGACCGAAGCGCTCGGCTGGAGCATGAACATCACCCAGGCTATTTCTGCCCAAAAAGAGGTGCCAGAGCATCAGTGCTGGATACAATTGAGAAGGAGCTCCCAGTTCTGGGAGAAGCCTCTGTGGAGCACCAAGTCCACAGGGATGTGACATGCAGGACTGCTAAACCCACAGCACGAGCATGTTCTGAAAACCAGCTAAGGACACTCTAGATTCCTCTTTGTCCTCCTCAGTCCCTGCCCAGAGCTGGCCCCAAAGCCCCCGCAGTCCCCGCCC